GTACATTTGATCAATAGTGGATATTGCATGACTGGAGCGATGAAGACTGTGTCAAAATACTGAAAAAATGCAAAGAAGCAATTCAAAGCACTGATAAAGGAGGAAAAATCATAATTATTGACATGATTGTAGACATCCAAAAAGAAGACAAGAAGGCAATTGAAACACAACTCCATTTTGATATGTTGATGATGACTGTTGTCACTGGGAGAGAAAGAAATGAGAAAGAATGGGCAACAATCTTCAATGATGCTGGCTTTACTGATTACAAAATACTTCCCGTATTGGGATTGAGGTCTGTTATTGAGGTTTATCCTTGATTAATTCATCGTATTGAATAAACACTATTTCCGAACAGAATTTCATCTTCAATTTGTGCTATTTCTGTTTTCATTCACAACGATATTTTATATTTGTGCTATTACTCTATGTTTCTAATAAATTATACAAAATATTTCGTCCTTGATATTAGAGCAAATCAAGAATATGATGTAGGAAAATTGTTTCAATATCAAATACCGGATTTAAACATTGGATACCGTATATGCAGTTTGGATACCGGATTTGCAGTATGGGTATTGTATATGCAGTGGTAGATACACCGATTTTACATATCATAACAGATTAAATTGTACATATAACAAATCCAATGATTCGTTGATTGCAGTAAGAAATAACAGGTAATTTAAATAATTACAAAACATTAATATGCAACACCAATATGCAGATCGAGCAAGAACAAGTAATTAAACTGAATAAAACTTTTAACCCGAGGTCTGTGTTACACACAGTTTTCTTAAAACAGATTCGCCCCCTCACCGTACGTGCTTGAGGTAGTATAAGCGTCTGCTTCACAGGATACAACGAAGAAACCAGTAATTTAATTATATGAGTGCCGTTATGCAGTTTATGATTTCAACTATATGACAGAAGAGAATATCCCAAAGAGCAGGATTTTCTTTATTGCGTGGTAATTTTCTTTCTTCACAAACATAGTAAATGTCAATAAACTGGCTTATTTTCACCACACTAATTGTTGCCATTACTTTTTTTCTGCATTATAAGGTCCCCCCGACACCTCAAGAGTGAGAAAATGATCTATGCAAGCTCCAAGGACAGGTTCAAAAGGGAATTACATGGCATTCAGGTGGAGCTGCAAGCCACTAATCCAACTGAGATGGGTTTTAAAGTCTTCAAAAGCCGCGCAAATTATATTTCTTTAGGTTGCATCAGAGTATGAAATATTCTATTTGCTCTACTTGCAAGTAATGTTGATAGTTCGTGAAACAATGGTACCTGGTTAAGCTATTATATTAGTCTTTTGTCAACGTCTAATTCTGTGTTCCTGTAATCATCTAGAGCCGATTCTGTCATTTTGATCTTATTTTATGATTATTTTGGTGTGGAATTTCGGTTGTGTTGTCGCTTGGGGCTGGATAACTATATTGAATTTGCTTCTATATTTTGGAAATGCACTCTTGGCTTTCTTACTCATTTTTCAAATTGTTATGTTCTCATTTTGACATGGATGTTGCTATTGGCTATTATATGATGTTCAATGAGCTCATCCTTCCTAACAACATCACGACATGCTCAATTATCCCAACATAACAGCCTTAGGTGAGTAAAAGAATGAACAAAATATATAGCACAATTTCTTTTTTACTTATCCACTTTTTAGATTAAAAATTATCTCAAGATAACCATTATCAATACATACACTTGACGTTGAGTCGTGCAACGCATGTCCAATACTAGTAAATTATAAATACTACAATTACTTAAATTTTATATATATATATTCTTCATTTAAAAAAAACATATTATTCAAAAATCAAAATCATAAATACTACAATCATTTGGTGATCAATTCCTATAATTATATTAGACACAAAGATCGATTTAAAAAATCCTAAATCTTTTTGAATTTTGATAAATATCTCTCCCTAAAATTAAAAATCAGACAAAAAGGACCTTCAAAATTCTTATTAGGTTGAGCAATGCAAAAACGAAAAATGTACCTTCAAGTTTTTGCAACTCAATGAAGATCTTTGAAGTCAAACTAGAGCAAGACCGAAGGAGGATCGGGTTCGGCGTAGATAATTTGTAACTCCATGAAAAATTTTACTTTGACTTTTTATTTTTTAAATGTTAAAAACCTACATATTACTATATATAATTCATGGGATTAGTTGATCTAGACTAATTTGATATTTGTTGAACTCAATTTGCTTTTTTAAGTTATGAAAATGGGCTGAACTTTGTTAGGCTAAATTGAACATAATTTTTAATACAAAATGTAGACATTTTGGTGTTTAAGCGAAAATATGTGGTCAATGAAATGAGTTGACCACATTATTATGTTCACACCCCATGTATGGGGCATTTCGAAAATGCTCCTAGCATATCCACACATGTGTAAAGCATATACATGCATTTTAGAATATTGATTGGCATTGACAAAAGTAACTCTTGAAAATTTTATTTCAACTTTAGCTCATTTTACTAAAAAGTTTGACAATATTCAGTACTTCACGATTAGTTAATATGGAGTATTTTTTACAATTGCAAATGATGCAAGTGTTCTTGAATTTTATGCTCCTATTGTTTTTTTTGCGTTATAGTTCTTTTACGCGGATTATTGTTAAAATCTTTTTACACGTATATCAGGATTTACATCTCTGGTGTTCATAATGTCCATGCACCATTTCATCATTGACGTCATTTCATCATTGGACTCCAATGATAAAATGTCACATGGACATTATGTACACCAGAAGTGTAAATTCTGATGTACATGTAGCAAAAACTCTTATAGTTATTGCATTTCTCAAAATAAAAACAAAATGACCCACACGCTTACCCCCCCTTTTTTTTATACATTCTCATTTACAATGGACTAAATTAATTGTAGTCTTCACTTTTGCCCCAGTTTGGCAATAGTTATTTTCAAACCCTTTTTTTACATACTTATTTTAAATTATACATTCACATGATAAAATATTGTGCACATAAATCTAAAATTTTTTCCTACTTTTTAACCACAAATTTTAAAAATCATTATTCAAAACTTTATTTTCCCTAAATAATGATCGTCAAACAGGAGCATAATGTTCCACGACGTAAATGGAGACATTACAAAAGAAAAGTAATTTGTTTGCGATAAAAAAAATATATTTAAAATTTGTTACCAATTTTAAAATTTAATTTTACCCTTCTTAGCATTATAAATTTTGTCCAAAATTTTGTTTTAACGCCTACCACCCCTACTATCTCAACTACCCATGCTCCGTTATTGAACCTCTACGGCCAACATCGAAGGTATTTTTTTTTTTTTTTAACCAGAACCTCCATAAATTTTATTAACGAAACCTTACTTATAGCGAATGACTACCGTAGTTACAAAAAATCACAATCATAATCAAAGCGAACCAAGCTTCTTATAATTTAAAACAACATTTGAAGATTTAAAGTCAAATTGAGAGGAGAAAAACCCTGTAAATTAGGGATGCCCAGTTTATCCATAGGCAAAGCTTCTGTAACTGACGATGAGATTGTGATAAAGTCCATCCAAATCTGTGAAATACTAGACGCACCTAGCTTCGACAAGCTATTAGCTACCAAGTTACCCTCGCGATATATGCACTGAACCCTACATGAGATTATAGACAACAAGTATTGTATTTCTTCCAAGTAGTCCTCCAAATACCAAATACTGCAAACCTTTCTCCTTAGCCAATGAACTATAATCAAAGAATCTAACTCTACTTCTAGACAATTAATCCCCATTTTTTTAGCATGGTAATGCCAGTAGCTCAGCACCATTATTAGTACCCTCACCACGTTTCTCAGCAAAGACTATAACAATGTCACCCTTCTCATTTTGAATAATATCTCAAGCACGACAAATTCTAGGATTGCCTGGATAACACCCATAGTATTAAGTTTGTACCACCCCTACTTTGAACTTTTTTTTAATCGGCTTCACTGGTATATTAAACTCTATCAGCACCCATTCATCTCTTCTGTTTAACATTTTCGCTTCTTTAAGCTTCAGCCCCACCCAAGAGACCCAATATTTTATCTTCCTCCAAGTAGCTTCTATAGATTTCATCTTTCCTTACATCTCATGGACGGATATGGGGGGAGGCTGCACTGGGCCGCAGCCCATTACAGCCGTGGCCCATATCCTATTTTGCTTTGTAACTTTTTATTAAAAAAGTTATATTTTGGCCCAAATTTAAAATTAGCCGACTATCCACTTTCTCTAATATTTGTCCACTTCAAGCCTAATTTCTTAAATGGACCAAATTTTAGAATGATCCCACTTCCAAATCTCTTGCTCAAAATAAGAGATTTTCTTTCAAAATTTAATATAGTAAGTGAAAGACAATGAACAACCTTATTTTTGCTGCAATAGTTCAAAGAAATAAAACTCAAATGAGAGAATATAATTGTATTAATTGATGTTTTAACCTCTTCACATCAGAAATCATATTAATGTTAGTAGGCTTATCATGAGCAAGGAAATTATCTAATGAAACTAACCATACATATAAAATATGATGAGGGACAAAAAAAAAAAAAAAACTATTAAAAATCTTAAAAGTAATTAAATTTTATTTTTTTGTATGTTTCTTTTATTAATTATACTTATAAGTTAAAAAAAATTATTGACCATGAAATAGATGTTATTATCAAAATAGATAACTTGCTCTATATTTAATTTTATCAGTAAAAATAATATTTCTTAAAAAAATATTTATTTATAAATTAACATTATTAAAATTATATTATTGAAGTAAGTCAAACATAAAACTAAAATAAATCCAATTTTTCTTTGAATTCTCGATATTCTTGGTCGGTTTTTCCCACCTCAGGTAGAATTTAAATGTGTTAATATAGAAGACTAATACCCATATTAGATAATATTTTCAGAACAATGTATTTTGATTAAAAATCTTTAATAACTGGAATGATTTGTTGTTCTTTTTAAGCCTTAAATCTCGTAATAGTGCGAATAAGTTTTTCTTAATTTTTTGTTGGTGAGCATACATCATTTGTTTATGTTTATCATCCTTTCGCACATTTTGTATTTTCTAGAGAGGTGTTAAGATTTTTTATTTAGCAAAAAAAGCTACGAAGATTTAGTAAAACATTTTAAGGATTGATATGTTTATACTTATTTATGTATATGACTCACTTTGTCATTAGTGTTTAGCCTTTTAAACTATATTTGGCGTGGCATGGAGCATCTCTTATGGTGTGAGTTCCCTGATTTTTTTTTTTAAATTTCAGTCCCCCTCAACCCCTTTTCCTGGCTCCGCCCCTGCTAGGAATAGTACCCACCAAAGTACCTTTATGTGATGTTTGTTTTGCTCTTCGGAACCAAGTTTCTACATGCCATAGTTATTAGACTTGACCCGAACATTAACTCGGTCAAATTACTAGGTCATTGAGTTACTGGTCGGACCGATGAACCGATGGTCGGACTGGTGGGTCATTACTTAAAAATTATCTTAAAAACTATCTTAAAAACTTTAAAGTATAATTTATTTATTTTTTGCTTGAGACAATTAAAATTTTCAAGTTATTTGTTACTAATTATTTTTATACCTTTAAATTAATGATTTTTTGAACTCATTTATNCTCATTTATTAGTGATAATTGTTACATTTTGATTTTATAATTTTGAATATTATATTTTCCCTTTTTGTGATATACAAATCATTTATTAGTTATTGACTAATGATTTATGTGTATTATCTATTCAATTTATTTTAGTTAAAATTAAAAATTTCAAACAAAATAAGTATGTAAAATAATTATTTGATATTACAAAATGAATGAAAATATTAGACTAATTTTATTGAAAGTATTTTAAGAAGATAGCAAATTGTTCATAGATTAGATATTGTTTATTACACAAAAAGACAACAAATGGTTGCTTGCTTTGGTAGTAAGGTTATATTTTAATCAATGTTCTAAAATGCGTAATGCGTTGCGATGCGTCGATGTCGAGAATCAAGAATCACAAATTTAAACGTGTCAATGCGAAGAATAAGCGCCATAATGCGTTTCGTATTTTTAATATTATTTTAATTATTTTTAATCAAACAAAAAAATTTATATAAACCCACATATTATATACCTTCTATTCTCTTAGCCCATATAAGAAAATCAAAGCCCATTTATCCACAACCCATCCCAAACACACAGACCCAACCCAACTGGGGTTAGAGCTCACACTGAACAAGCCGTCTTCCCTAACTGGAGCCCAGATAGTAAGCCAAGAGCTCCAATTGAAAATCAGGATTCTGTAGATGGAAACCAGGATTCTAGAACTCGAGGAAGGCATCACAAAGAAAGTTCTCTCTTGCTCAGCTACAGTTATGGCTTCTGGGTTTAGGATTTGAAGAAGTAGACAATGTTTGCAAACTGGTTTCCAGGCATGATGTCCTGTTTTATTTATGCATGCATTAGCCAACCCAACAGCATCGAAGGAAGCTGGAGACAAGTTTGCTGATAGTCGCTCATTGATGATAATTTGTACTAATGGATTGTTTTCTGAAGGCAACAACATTCAGGAGGGATATGGTGGTGCTCGTAATAAGTTCACCCAACACTGCCATTAACAATTCACAAACCCCAATCAAACAAGATCAAATACAAACAACCAATCATTTCGCCAAACCCCAATTAACAATTTACAAACCAATTAACAAGATTCAAAAACAATTCAAACAAGATCCACCAAACAATTCACAAACCACAATCATTCCGCCAAACCCTAATTAACAATTCAAAAACAGATCAAATACAAACAACCAAACCCTAATTACAAGTTCCACCCAAACCGTTCATCTTCCCTACCCGAAGACCTGAGAGAATTTCCCCAAATCTCTAATCTCTCTGTTTCTCGTGTAGAGATTAGATAGACGCAGTGGAGCTCCAACCATCGCCCTCAATATTTGGAAAAATCTCTAATCTCTCTGTTTCTCTTGTAGAGAGGAGAGAGAAGCAATGGAGCTCCAACCACCGCCTTCGCCACCCCAATTGCTGCCGAGCCAATCACAGTAACAGGAGGGTGCCATTGCCGTCGGGAAGAAGAAGAAGAGGAGGGTGGAAAGTGGAAACTCAAGAAGCCTCTTTCAAGTTCAATGCTTGTTTGCATAGTAACACAGCAAAGTTATCCCACATCGGAATTCTATAGATGAAGGCCAAGAACTTTTGCCTATAAATAATGGGCCAACGAATTCTTCATTTTCATAAGCTTCCTGGGCTTGTCAATTGGTGGATTGGAAGTTGGAGTGTTTATAATTTATATTTATATTATATAATATTAGTAAATGGTAAATTGAAAAAAAAAAACTAAAAAAATTAAAAAAATGCGTGCCTTTGTACGCATTATCGCGCCTTTGCTCTCGTTTTAGTGGTCAACATAGGCGTTGACCGCATTTTTACACGCATATACCGAATGTGACGCGTTTTGACCACACTACGCGCGCCTAAGCGGCGCATTTTGCCGCCTTTTAGAACACTGATTTTAATTAGTTAGATGTCAAGTGTTCAAATATTTAGTTCTCTAAAATTTCAATGGAGAAAATTTTTGAAATTTGGTTATTAAATCAACCGGGCATAATCGGGCCGATAATTAAATAAAACTGGCTACTTGACCCGGTCAAATTTGATTTTTGATCGGGCCACTTGCATTTACATAGTATGAGCTTGTACAGCGCGAAATATGGTTCGGCTATTTATCGGGCCGACCGGCCCGGCCGGGTCAATTTTAATAGCACTGCTAGACACTCCCTCCATCTCTGAGTCTGCACGCACCAAATTCCCAGTAAAGTCGAACATTTCTGCCAAATTTCTTGAGCAACATTCCCCAAAGCCAAGACGTGATCTTGATCCTCCCACAAGCAACACACACTTTGATACAATTGGGATACCAACCTTTCGAATTTTGTCATCTACCAAGAGAGTTCCTGCCAAGTTTAAAAAATAAAAAAGGTAAATAAAATTCAAGACTTCTGGTTCTTTGTATTTTTACTTCTCTTAACTAACTTTTGTTATTTCTCTCCATTGTTGCCCAAATTCTTTAGCTTCTTCACATTTACAGCACGAGTAAATTGTACGATTGATCACTGAAGTTTTTACGAAAGTTGAAGTTGGTTTTTTAAAGTATTTTTGGACTCATTTAGTCACTTGAGTGATTTAACATTGTACCATTAGTCATCAAAGTATTTTTTGACTTGTTTTATCATTAAAATTAATTACTGTTACACCAAGGGTCACTTTATTTGTGGAAAGAATGTCCAATGCAACATGGAACTAATTAAATGTTGACGTGTACAAAAAAATATCCACTAAGGAATACTTGTGAAATTATAATTCCATTCCAAGGTGAAGTAATTTGCGAATATGCTTTCGCATGCATTTCGACAACTTATGTAGTTGAGAACCAGGTTAATAGTCACGGGGTCAAAGCGGGACCAAATGTCATAGATGCAGCTGAGCACATGATGACAAGTATTTTAGGTGGTTCCAATGAATCAATAAATGAGGAAGCGGGTCCATTATCTTTATCATTTTTAAGTCTTTTTTATTTTCGATTTTCTAAAATAGTGAAAACGCGTTTTTGAAAACAAGTTAAAAATTCACAAAAAAAGTATTTTCAGTTATAATCAAGCAAAAAATTTCAAAACGAGTTTTGGGTGTTCAAAATAATTTTTCAAAAAAAAAAAAAAAAAACACATTTTTAACAATCTTAAAATGAACACTCAAAACACAAAATCCAAAATGAATTCAAAACTCAAAACACAAAACTGAAACACAAAGAGAACAACCCCTACATTTTCTAAGTCATCCAAAAATGTGGTTTTATAGATAGAATTCTAAGTGATATGGTCTATATGGATCTCGAAGACGGCACGAGAAGCAGATCTTAGAGTAGTTCTAGCACAAAGATAGCACGATCAAGATTATAGCAGCATATGAGTTCATTGTTAATGCTCAAACTTTTTATCTAAGTGCCTGTCTGGTATCAAAGAAATTGGCCAAAATAATTGCTTTTCCTACCGTTGCGGATCACATCAGCCGCAATGTTTGACCGGCCATGAGTGGTGCCGGCCCTACTAACGGTCACTTTATTGATTAAAATTGGCCCAAAATGACCACCAGACCCTAAAAAATCCTTTATCACTTAGTATCAACTCAAAAAATGCTCCTTGAGCAAGATTCATTTGAGAACTTATTGTTAACGATAAATTTCATGTTAAACAAAGATAAAATATTAACTAATATGTAAGAACTTATGCTGTTCTTCTTAATAAAGTTGAATTTTAACATGGCGTTTCAAGTTTGAATATAACATTAGATTTTATTAAGCACCAATAAGCAATATTTTGCNACGCTGCAGGTTAGGGGCAGTCATGCTGAACACCACGTGAAACACCACATGGTGTTTGGCCCTATTAAAATGCTGTCTTCATTTATATACAGCAATCTAATGCCAGTGTAATTTATAAGACAAGTACTTCTAAGAAATCCAAATTGATATTGAAATGGCATTGCTAAATGGAGAGCAATCTACAGAGCTTCTTCGAGCTCAAGCTCACATTTGGAACCACATTTTCAACTTCATAAATTCTCTGTCTCTCAAGTGTGCAATCCAACTAGGCATACCCGATATTATCCATAAACATGGCAAACCAATGACACTGCCCGAACTAGTCGATGCCCTCCATATGAACGAAGCAAAATCTCAATTTGTCTCCCGCCTAATGCAAATTTTAACCCATTCAGGGTTCTTCATCAACGCCAAAATCTCCGAGAATGAAGAAAATATGGAATATTGGCTTACATCAGCTTCTCATCTCCTCTTAAAAGACGAGCCACTGAGCGTGACACCATTTTTACTAGCCATGCTTGATCCGGTTTTGACAGAGCCATGGCATCATCTAAGCGAGTGGTTTAAAAGTGATCAGAATCCCACGCCATTTGATACTAAACATGGGAGGATGTTTTGGGAGTATGCTGCGCAGGAGCCAAGGTTGAACAGCTTCTTCAATGACGCCATGGCTAGTGACGCACGGTTGGTGACTAGTGTGCTTATTAGAGATTGTAAACATGTATTTGAAGGTTTGAATTCGATTGTAGATGTGGGAGGTGGAACAGGAACTTTGTCCAAGATTATTGCTGTTGCATTTCCTAACTTGAAATGCACTGTGCTTGATCTTCCACATGTTGTTGCCGGCTTGGAAGGGACTAAGAACTTGAGCTATCTTGGGGCCGACATGTTTGAATCGATTCCTTCTGCAGATGCAATCTTACTCAAGGTATTACTTGTGTCTTCCTCTTTTTCATTGCCGTTTCATTTGATATTGATCGTGAATACGCAAACCATTTTTGCGTCAAATGAGTCACCAAACATCCACACGGTCGCTCTATCCATTCCATTATTCATGATAACAAAATATTCAATGTCGCCCTTAACATTTTTGATGAAACTTGAGATTCGTGTTAGATTTTCTCTTTAGTTTGATAGGTAACAAGAATGAATGAAGCGATCAATTTTAGCCTGTCTGCCTTTGAACTTGTATTCCTAGGGTGTGTTTGATGGATATTATTTTGGAAGAATATATTTTGGAATAGTAGATTGATGGAGAATGTGTGGTTGAAAAAGAAGGAAAAGTTATTGATGTGATGGAAAATATTATTTTAATGAAGAATGTGTGGTTGAAAATGAGTAGAAGAATGAGAAGAGTATGCATTTTTTTGAAGTGATGTGATGGGGAATACGTGGTTGAAAAAGAAGGAAAAGTTATTGATGTGATGTAAAATATTATTTTATTGAAAAATGTGTGGTTGAAAATGAATAGAAGAATGAGAACGAAAATTTTAATGGGTACCAAACATGAGCCTAATATGTCAATAAGCTAACCCTACGCATGTGTTACATTAATTGTTCATCATTGATGAGATTTGAAGTATCTCAAAAATTTCTAAGGACAACGATGAAGTAAGGCATGACACACAAGTACATTAAAAAGTGGGCTGTCAGAAGTATTACTATAAACAATGACCTAAAATGGGGTCATAGAAAATGGTTTATATGTAAAAAATAATAAAATAACTTTTACATGTAAACTGAACGATTTCTCTATTTGATTTGGCTAAAAAAAAATCTTAGTATTGCCTGATAAAAGATGATGAATGTGCGATTAAAAAATTAATAAAAATTATGAATCTTATAAAATGTAAAATAGAAATAAACTTAGAGAAAAAAATAAATTTTAAATATGAGGATCAAATATTATTTAATCAAGAAATAGAAGTAAATAATTCTCGAACTTAAAGCAAGAAAGATTCCACAATCACATTACTATTCTATTACTTTAACATAAAATAAAATCCCTGTTTGTCAACATTTTCTAAAATTTATTTTACTACAAAACTCATTTTCAACCATGTATTTATCTAATAAAATAATTTTGCACGATGACTCGTAACGTTTCATGTTTTTTTCACCATACATCTCCAAAAAAACCACATTTTTTCAAAACACATTCTCAAAACATCTCTTCCAAATAGGGGCTAATCTAGGGACGTCATATTTCATATTCAGTCCTTGTTCGATTCAATTAAATAAGATGATTAAATCTAAATCTAAAGTCAACTATTAATTTTAACAATATATTTTATGGAATCCACAATTTGTCAATTATTACATTTTATCTACTTTTATCTAATCCACTAAAGATCTGACTTTTATCTAATCCAAACAGGGGCTCAATTCCTTAGAAAACAATGTAATAATCTTGTTCAATCTTTGGAGTCGTTTAGGCTATTATTCAATACATGAACTCAGATTCTAATCTTATAGTACTGGTACATTTGATCAATAGTGGATATTGCATGACTGGAGCGATGAAGACTGTGTCAAAATACTGAAAAAATGCAAAGAAGCAATTCAAAGCACTGATAAAGGAGGAAAAATCATAATTATTGACATGATCGTAGACATCCAAAAAGAAGACAACAAGGCAATTGAAACACAACTCCATTTCGATATGTTGATGATGACTCTTGTCACCGGGAGAGAAAGAAATGAGAAAGCATGGGCAACAATCTTCAATGATGCTGGCTTTACTGATTACAAAATAATCCCCGTATTGGGATTGAGGTCTGTTATTGAGGTTTATCCTTGATTAATTCATCGTATTGAATAAACACTGTTTTTGAACAGAATTTCATCTTCAATTTGTGCTATTTCTGTTTTCATTCACAACGATACTTTATATTTGTGCTATTACTCTATGTTTCTAATAAATTACACAAAATATTTCGTCCTTGATATTAGAGCAAATCAAGAATATGATACGTTATGTCAGATCTTATTTATATCAGGAAAATGTTGGTTGTACACCATGCCATACAACATGGGTACAGCCCCCTCACATGTGAGCGTGCCCGGCTTACCATGAATAAAAAATTTGTATGCCTCCTCGATGTGAGGGGAGTGTACAAGTATGGTGTAAATGTAGTATCATTCTTCATATTATGAGCTTCGGTACAACCACTAGCAATATAAATATTAAAATTGAACACCACAAAAACACTGTTCTTGTATACAGATTCCAACATTGTAGCAAATCAAAGTTAACTATAATATTGAATTTCAAGATTACTTTGTATATGATCGCTGTTTTCGGAGGTGGTGTACTAATTTTAAGTTGATGAATCAAATGAATACCACGTACAACCCATTTCCCAAAAGAGTTTAAACTATCCTTCATTTTAAGAACAAATAATTAAATATATATATAAAAAAATGATCTAGTAAATATCAGCTAAGCAACATAATATTTATCTATAGGCGAATAAGATTATGATATTGGGTCATATTATTTGAATTAAATTTTTTATTTATCAAGGGTTGAAGTGTCCTGCCATACATACTCTAATTGTTAATTGTTGAAAAAAGATGAAGTTCAAACAGGCGCTATAGATGTTTTTGAAATTATCTTTGTAACATGATTTACAAAAAAATATTTTACTTTGTTCTTCTTGATTCCACCTTTAAGATCCGGTGTTCATAGAGAAACAAAAACTAAAGTGGTTTATGCGTGTGGGCACAAACAAAATTAACTTAATTGAACCTGAATCTATGTGTCAATTTATAATATGGACATAGAAGGACTCTTGCTTCTAGTTCTAATCCAAATCAAATCCTTTTCATGTATAATTGACACGTGTGGCACACGTGACATTTCTCCCTCCAATTGATTAAGAATAATTCTGATTCTACAACTTTGAGTTACAACAATAGATGATAATCTCTCACAAGGGGGCGAGGCCCGCGATTATATTGTATAACTTTGGGTTACAACAATAAATGACAATCTCTCGTAAGGGAGTGGGGCCCGCGATTAAAATAATCTCGAGCCCCACCTCCTTGTGAGAAGTTGTAAAAGTGTATAACACCAAAGTATTGTGCATGTAGCATTGTTGATTAATTAATTCCATTACAGTCAATAATAAATTAAAACTTTTATAATTTAGTTTGATTCTTTTATGAAGCCATCGAAGGGACCTGTACCCTATAAACTAAGCTTCAAGAAAATAATCTTGATTCAATTAACTTTTGATCAATGATTAATCGAGGTAAAGTTTACATGCTTTTGCCCTATAAGCTAGTTATCCCAAAAACTTCGATTATTGGCTCTGATACCACTTTGTTGTAAAACAATTTTAGTTTATTGATATATTAAAATTCTCCTTATCTTCCACACAAATCTTGTGTTCTTCTTTTCATCTTATCTATTATCTTGATTTTAATATTAGTGTGTGTTTGTCTCCCATTATTGTAGAAGAAATGAAGTAATTGATAGTATTTTTTAGAGAATGTGTGGTTGAAATTTAAAGTAACTTTATTGATTTGTGTGTAGAATATTTTATTGGGTGAATGTGTGATGGAGAATCTTACTATAGCAAACAATGTTTTGAAATAATGGGAGACAAATAGAGCCTTGATAACAAGTGGTATAAGTTCTATCATCGGGTTATTACAAATTAATTATAGTGAATTTTTCGTCTCTCATCGTTGTTTTTTCTCGAATTTTGATTTTGCAAATTGGCTTATCTTGCAACAAGAGTTGAAATATGTGTCCAAAACACTACCAACTAATTACTAAGTGGAGCCCTACATATTTGTTTCCATTTGGAAAAGTCATATTTTAGGGCCTTCGAAATTCTGAACTTGAATGTCGTCTAGTTCATATTGCTATTAATTGTGTTTATTTTCACGTCTTAAGTTCCATCCGTATTTGTCTAAAGATGAGAAATAT